GCCTTCTCTTTGCGAGCGACCCTCATGAATGTTTGCAGGAATGCGTCGCAGAAAAGATCCCACGTTTGAAGGGCAAACTTCCGATTCTCGAACCACATCCTTGCCATGTCTTCCAGGGAAAAATAGACACGACGGAGCTTTTTTTCTGCGTCCCAGTGGTTTAGGGCGGCCACTCAGTTGTAGGCCTCTAGCCTGGTCTCGGGCACTTCAAACAATGACCCATAGAAAATCGATGGTTTCCTTGGCTGCTGCATTATGATCGCAGGCTGTGGCACAGCAGTCGTCATTGTTGCCTCGGTCGAGGTCATGGCCTTGGTCTTCCGAGCCTTGTCTTGTAGAGGCCCGTATTCAGGAGATAAACCCTGCTGCCTGCGGCTTGTTCAGTGCTCGTGGCTGGCGTCGGTGTCTTTTTCGCGACGTGCTCTGGGTTCACGGCTTGACGGGGGTGTTTAGTACATAAACAAAGCAGCACCTCCACCAGATTCCACGGGGTCGTGACGTGAACGAAAGTAGCAGACGCCACGTTGAAGAAGAAACTCTTTATTCGGGCCGAACTTATCGCCAAGCAAAAGTAAAGTAAGACACTGGCACTGATAGCAGCGAACAGAGCGTCGGCCGTCGATCAACTGACAAGTGGCGAAGCATGTCGGCATTTATACACTTGCCATCGAACATTTTAGCATTATCACTAGCAGTGATGTAGGTTCCAGAATAATCTGAAAGGTTTACGAAGTGGGTGTAATCTTGACAAAACAATATACTATAGCCTCGAAGCTTATCTAATACCGCAGGCGCGGTTTGCGCTGAACATAGTTTAACCGGGCTATAACAAAACTTGAGAAAGGAACGTGGCAATATTTATTTTGTAGTGGCGAGTCTGGGATGCTTCACCTAAAACTTATTATTGTTATTGCTACAGTACATTGCCTAGAGCCTTTTAAGAGCTGTTGTTTTTGTAGATTTGCAGCAGAATCAGGATCGGGAATTAGCACTTGGCACCCACTGTTCTTGAATCAACTGGACTGGTGTGGACCCCTGCTTCGAATTATTCACTCAAATTTACATTGCAAAATCTGGGACCACAGAAATCCTTCTAATTAAGCAAGATTTCAATATAACCGAGTTCAAATTAAAGAGGTTTTACTGTACTACATAACAGGAAGGCGTTGTTGCTAATATTCCATTTATCACGAGGGACTTATGAGACATGACTTGCATTTTCCACAGACCACAAACCCACATCAGAACTTGACTGTCTACGCCAAACGCCAAAGACTCCCCAATATTTTTTGTGCAGCCACCTAGCCTTGCTGCCAGGTGTCTCTGCTGGCACTATCGGAATAACCGTAATGATGATAGTGGTGAATTCACGCAAGAACCGCAACACCTACCGCATGGTGATCAAACCTTGATGTGGCATATTCAGGGTACACGTGTGTGCCACGAGGAGAAAACAGTGTTACAAGAAGTGATGGCACCCTCACAACTCGAACAATGATATATTAAATTTTTGACTATATCAAACTTGTAAATCGTCCTCTTCAAAATTTTTCTAAAAGTATAACAATTTGACCGTTCATGCTGAATGGTAAGTGCACTTACTGCACTGATTCAATCGTGGTGCCAGCTGTTTCATTTTATAGCAGTGATATGCATGCAGCATCAGTGATATGCGTGCAGCATGTCTGTAGTATGCGGCACCGAATCATTGCCATATGCTTTCACAAGCCGCATGTTAATTAGGGCTGTAGTAGAGTGGCCAACTTTGGCAACTGGTGGTCGGTGTGAAGGTGTGTACATACTTCAGCATCACCAGAAAAGTTAAGGCATTAAAAAAACTTTTGGTGGTGTCGGAACCCCCTCAACCCCCCTCTAGATATAGCCCTGATGCCAATAGTAGAATATAGTTTTACAATTCACGCGTGCGTGCATGCACTGCTCACTTTTGGTGCAATTGTAATGGTGTACTATTGTGATGCAAAAAAAAATGTGAACAGTAGAAAGCGTGGCTTTCTACTCAGTCAAACTGCGTAGTGCCTTCACTGTCGATAGTGAATCTGTGCTTTCAGCTGGCCTCACTCTACAACTATAAAAAACTGGCAGATCTCACGTACAGTGGGAATCGATGATATGCGAAGCATGAATGAGAAATGTTGATATGTCACTTCAAAATCAGCACAACGTTACGAGGTGGAAGTAAATGATGCCGTACATCACTTCCATGTCAAGATTATGTTTAGAAGCATCGTTTACCTTCAACATCTATTCATGTCAATGGATACCAAATTTAGTATATAAGAGCGAGGGAAATAGCCACGAGCACACTATGACTGTGGTATGTTGTCATGTTCTTACATGACACGCGTGTCAGGATTATCATGTTTGCACCAGTCATATATTTTGTCATCCATTGATGACATGTAATACCAAATTCGGTATATGTGGAGCTAGCAAAACCGTTGTGAGCACATCATGAAGGGCCCAATATACTCCAATGTAGCATTGATATGCGCGCACGCTGGGCACAGTGGCGCTGCGTTAGCAAAATGCGAGCACTTCATAGTCTGACGCCAGGCACGACCAGCGTCTGTTGGCGCGGCCTGACGGCGACTGGCGCGAAATGCGACATGCTGCATTTCGCACCGATGCCATAGATTAAAATTACTCTATGCTGATGCGTTACCTAGACAACACTGCATCTTTCACTTTTCGTGACGGAGGGAAGCCGGACGCGCTGAAACGCACATGCGTCATAGCAACGCAGCACGGGGTGCGCCAGCAAGTATATGGCAGGACTGGCGCCTGGCGGGGCAACGCCGGCCTAATGCGACGAAATAAACGTCGGCGAGCATGCGCACCGATTCATGTCGAAATGTATTGGCGCCTTGAGTGTGGCATGTACTCATGTTCTCACATGGCACACATCTCATGATTATTATGTTTGCACCAGTCATATACCTTCGTCATTCATTGCCGTCGCGTAATACCAAACTTGGCATATGTGAAGCTAGCGAAAAGGCCACGAGCATATCATGAGTGTAGCATGTAGTCATGTTGTTACATGACACACACCTGCACTGATGATTATCATGTTTGCACCAGTCACATACCTTCGTCATTCATTCACTTACCGTATTACCAAATTTGGTATAAGTGAAGCTAGTAAAATGGCCGCCAGCGCATCATGAACGTGGTATGTAGTAATGTTATTACATGACACTCATCTCATAGTTATCATGTTTGCACTAGTCACATACTTTTGTCATCCATTCACGTACCGTAATAGCAAATTTGGTATATGTGACGCTAGCAAAAGGGCCGCCAGCGCATCATGAGCATGGTATGTAGTCATGTTGTTACATGACACGCATGTCATGATTTTTATGTTAGGGTCTGTCGCTTGTGTTGGCCATGCAATCATGTCATACCATACCAGTTTTGCAATATGCCATGTGAATGAATCCATCGCAAGAGCTGCAGGATTATGAAATGTAAATCTTGACATACATGTCATGATTTTCATGTTATGACTAGTCAAATATGTTCTTCATGCAGTCATGTTATGCCATACCAAGTTTGATATCGATATCATTTTCGAAACAGCCAGGAAAGCTAAAAGTCATAGGGGAATAGATAGATAGATACGCTAAAGGTCGCCAAAGTTCGTTAAGAAATTCTCCACATTTAAAATGTTGCTCTGGCTGGCACTTTCACATACCGTGTGGGTTCAGAGTGCCAGACATAACTAACCTATAATAAACATATGCAGTCCATGAGTGCATGCCGGAGCAGGATTCTAGCTTAGGGTGATGCTGGCTGAGAGCACGAATTTCGCTTCGCTACAGCCAAGCCTTGCCACAGCCAATCCTTACCACAGTTCAACTGAGTTCACAGTTCAACTAAGTTGAAAGCCATACTTTCCCCTGTGGCTGTTTATTTTCATCGCGGTAGTATGTACCTGACAAAGTTGCTTCTGCTGTCGTCAATGCATGTGCTGTCAACATTCCAGACTGTCAACGAAGGACGTCTCAACATTTCACACAAAAACGGCACAAAAAATCAGGCCAGGAAGAGGGTTTAACATGCTTAGAGCCAGAATTGGGGTAGATAGTTTCATGTTTGATTTGTGGAGCATTGACTCGCGTGGCGATTCAGAGGGTTACTTCACCACGCTTGCAACAGATGGCGCAACGCAAATTGGATTGCAGCATGCTGTGAGTTCGCTGTGTTGTGGTGTGTGTGTACTTGTGACTTTGTAGTGCCACCTAGTGACAGTGCACAACATTATGACATCCTTTGTCAGCATTTGTGTAGTCTTCTTTGCTAGGTGTTGCAACGTGTATCAATTTTCATGTTTGAAACTCACGAACTGATGATCCTGCTTTTACACATTTTCTCTTGCAACCATAAGAGTCACTTGCTTACTGCCAATATGTGTCAGTTCATTGGAGCCAGCAAAAAAGGTTCACTCTTGTACATCCAGCTTGTCTTCATATAGGGAGACTTGATCCTATTTTTGCAGCCTTTATTGCAGCTGCACAGCAACAATCACTATTGGCGGAATATGGGCTGTCTTGGCCACACGTGCGCATTATGTCACTTGCTTGGTGTTGTTAAGCTCTGTATTCACTTGGTGTGGTTTTTTCTGCTCTCTCCCGCACTTGCCACTTATGAGTCGGTGGGAGAATTCTGCGTTCATGGTGTGGATGGAAAATGTGCCACGTGATTGCCATGCTTCTGAAACTTCCAAACTTATTATGCACTGCCCGCAACTCCTGCATGGGCGATGTTCTATGGTACCGGTTGCAGGTGCACTGTTATGGCAGGGTTTCTGCTGGAGGCTTAGGTGGGCTAACAGGAATGCTCATGTTTGATGCAGTATAAGTGTTGTATAGAACAAAAAATAATGAAAAGAACATTATTATTGATGCCATGGCCAAAATGCATTGCAAGTTTATGAGTCGAAAATGGGTAGTAAGCCACCTGTGTTTGTACTGCAGTGGATGTCCTGGTGGCTGAAATGTCTTTGCGGGTGTCTGTGCCCTACCTGCTGACCCTGGCGAACTTCTTCTGCGATGCACTGCCACCATGCAGCAATGTGGACCTGCAACCTGGGAGGCTGCCTTCAACTGGTCGACACTACTCGGTCATTGGAGCACGTGATATGGGCCTATCCTACTCGCTGGTTCTCCAGAAGCCTGAGATTGTCTTTTTTGCTGACCCTAGAGACTATGGCAGCCAAGTGATTGTTCTCAAGGTGCCTGCATAATTTGAGCACAACTCACGCTAGTATGTTATAGTTTGCTAGGAGATTCAAACATGACTCTCAAATAGTATGAATAGTTCGGCAGATGCATGCTTCATAACCTGCAAATATCGCATGGATGCTGCAAGTGGGGCCGCATAGATGCGACTGCCCGCTGCCCGTGGCTGCCGCGTGTCACGAGTGCACCCGCGGTCATTGTCTTCCTCTTATACCTCCAATTGGCATGCTCGCGACTGCCGCTCCTATAACTTTTGCATCAGTGCCGACAGCACTGTCTCTGAGAAGAAAATGTGCCAACCAGCATGCTCGCGACCGCCGCTCTCATAACTTTTGCATCAGTGCTGGCAGCACTGTTTCTGAGAAGAAAATGTGGCGGTAGTGGTCCATTGTGCGGAGGTTGATACGAAATTACTATAGGTGAATTTTGGTGCCATGCTATTCTGCCTTGATCATTGATTTGGAATCCTTGCAACTTTATTAACAAAGCTTCAGTATTAAGCATCCATCAAACTGAGCATTGATATCTAAGCTAATGCAGAAACTGACCAATGTGCATCCTTTAAAAGGACACTGAAGTCAAATATTCACTTGGTATGCCCTATTGAAGTACTATTCTAGAAAAAAACCTTGACGGCCTTGTTTCTTGGTTTGAACTTTGTTTGAATAAAAAATTATGTTTTAGTGATTCGCGTAACCAGCCATCTCCATACTTCTGACTTAAACGTGCCAGTGCTTACTGTTCTCTGGCAACATTGCAACTGCACCGGAAATGCATACACATATATTACCTGTTATGTTCATTCTTATGTAGTTAGCTGACTGCCACTTCTCGTATTCTAATGCAGTCTAGTCTGTTGACAGAATTACAGTGTACTCGTGATAATACAAAGTCTGATAATTCATACTTTAAGTTATCTCAAACAAAACTCTATTTTTTGGTTGGCCCTCTATTTCTTTATGTGTTTAAAAGCCTTCTAATTCAAACTGCATCATTTGGTTAATTCATATTTTTTGTGTTTCCATACCAAATAATATCTGCTTCTTTCTCGTGACTATTTATAAATTTGCGTGCTTATACAGTTGACTCTCATTGATTCAAACTCGCCTAATTCAAACTTTCGGTTAATTCGAACTCACGATGAAGTCCCGTCAAAGCTATGTGTATTCCGATGAAGGAAAACGCCTGACCATTCAAACGCCCAAGCACTTCCGACGGTTAATTCGAACATACCACACTCTGAAAATGCTCTCAGCCCCCCGCCCGATCTCGCGGTGGCCCCTGCGACACCTAAATGCTGCGCACGAAGGAAATGAAAAGGAAAGAAAAGGCTGAGGTAGAATGTTTGCTCTCTCTCAAATGCCAATCTGCGACACGCCCGTGTCACGCTTCTCCCTTTTTCGTCCTTGCCTTGTAAAGACCCTTCTCCTTCCAACACCGCATGCGAAGAGAGATAGGAAAAAAAAAAAAAGAAATACGTCGCTGGGCTGAACGAATGTATGGTTGAAGGAAAGGAAAAAGGCACTATCTTCTGCAGCCCTTGCCCCTTGTGGGAGCACGACTCTGCACTTTGAGGGGGGGGGGGGGGGGTCTCTCACGCACCGGTGCCACGCTTTCCTCTTTCCCGTCCCTACCACGTAACCCTTCTCCTTTCAACAATGCACATGAAGAGACCAAAAAAAAAAAAAAGCTGCCATGGAGTGTTGCTTTTTTCTCAAATGCCGATCTGCTTCTCTCCGTGTGGAGACGCTCGTCTTTTCTCGCCACGTGCTGGCCATGCTGCGGCTGCGTAGCAGAGAGCGGAAGGCTCCGCTACGCAGTCGTGTTTGTCATCGTCTTTAGAAAGTGTCAGCACTAAACATTTCCGAGCGCAACTTCTCTTGCCAGGAGAATGCTGAAGCCGAAGTAGGAATGCTTTGCAAGCTGCGTGCGAAATCGCTTTACTCCCTGCACGGCAAATGTGTGCAGATGCGCGTCACCGATTACTTCAATTGATAATGAATGTCCTTTGATTTGTGAATAGAATAACTGTAAGTCTTCTGAAACTTCCCCGCCGTGTGTTAGCTCAATGCACATGTGCCACTGCATTTAGAGCCCTGCATTTATTTAGCTTTCATTAATTGGAACTTCTTTTAATTCGAACAAATTTTCGGCCCCTTCGTGTTCAAATTATCGAGATTCGTCTATATAATCCTAACAGTCTAAAAATGAAAAGTAAGGGCCTCAGGCTTTCAAGAGAAAAAGCTTTGCGAGTGAACAAATGTTTGAAACGAAGCACATGCAAACTGTGAATCTTCTCAAATGGTACAGAGTGCTTTGTGCTGAAAGCACATGTAGCAATGAAGCAGTTGGCAATTCACGATTTCTTTAAAAGGTCTGATCAGCAGTAAATGGCCAATAAACTTGTGGACCTTACACCTTTACTTCTTGTTCATTACATGCAGTTAGTGTTTAAAAATGCTTGGAAAATTTGAAATAGGATAAAAGCAACGCCTAATCGTAATGTGTGGTGTCACCTCACCCAGAGTCATATATGTGAAAAGTTCTGATGATTTAAACTTCTTTATAATTCACACAGCAATCAGAGGTGCCTTCAAGTTCGAATTGACCAGAGTCGACTCTATTCTAGCGAAACATTTCTTATCCCGAGCTCTCTCAGCTTATCGACGCAGCCTACACATTGTAATAATCAAAGCTGGTGGCTGCACGAGCAGAACGCAGGCTGTGTGTCAGGGAACAAGTTACTCTCTACTCTTGAGTCGTTAATGTGGTCTATCATGACTGCCACTTAAGCAACTATTCATTATTTGATGCTGATTTTGTTTGTTCTGCTTTCATATTTTATTTTATTAGAAACTACTCTTCAATTGTGGCCCTGTGTGCATTTGTATTTGTGCTGGTGCCGTTCGGTGAGCCTCTTTTTATATTACTGGGGCACCACAGTAATGCATCATAATCGACCTGTGCACACCACAAAACGTGTGTCCAACCTTGTCTTGACCCCATTCGATTGTTTCCTCCCTCCGAGGATTATAGCAGAACACGTTTGACCACTCTTTGAGCCACTTAGACAGTTCATGAATACTGCCACTAGGGCGACATGTAGCCCTTCATATGTAGCCCTTCATATGTTAGGGTATGCAGTAGTTAAATCATTTAACGTGTCGTTAAGTTTACTAGCAAAGGAAGGAGTGCTGTGGGGAGGTCTATAACAGGCACCAATTAAAACAGTTTCAGGAGTGGCATGGCAAAGAAGCCATATAATTTCGAGGTCAGTCTGAATGTTAAGCGCATTACAAGAAATATCTTTGCTGATTGCAATAGCCACGTCCCCGCCTCGGCTGTCTATACGGTCCTTGCGAAACACTGTAAAACTTGGAAGGTCTGTAAGAACTTCATGGTCGCTAATGTCACTGTATAGCCATGTTTCTGATAAAACTGGTATGTTGCTGCTCGACGAGGAAACAAGATGAGAAATGACGTCTCGCTTTGGAAGAAAACTGCGTATATTAGTAAAAATAACTGATAGCGAAAGTAGTGGGCGCGGGGTGGATCTGGGGCCATGACGCGCGTTTGGATTGCGAGGAACTAGCTATAGTAATTCTTTAACGGTTTGTGACGATTCCTCAAATATGTAGCGTTTCTTGCCCATGCGTAGTGTTTTGAAGGTCAACATAAATGGACATAACTGGGACCTAGCGAAAGCGATAAGATGCCTGTGAGCAATTCGAACTGTTGCGGAAAAGTCGTCGCCAATGCTGTAACCGGTGTTTTTAAGTTTGTGGCCGTTTCAAAGACTCTTCTCTTATGTTTTAAAAGTATTGAATTTTACAATTATCGGCCTTTCTTTGCCCACAGCGTGACGGCCAAGACGATGTGCTCTGTCTATATCTTTTGATTCAATATTCAGTTCCATGTGATCAGCACAAAGAGCAATGACTAATTTTCCCGGTTCAGTGAAATGTTCGGAAGGGTTAGTGTCGGGAATGCCATAAAATATTAAGTTGTTTCTACGGGAGCGATTTTCAGAGTCGTCCACTCGGGCTGATAAGCTGTCTATCTGGTGGGACATCTGAAGTGTGGTAGCCTTTAGGCTGTCCATTTCAACTTTAAGACATGAAAGGGACTTGAAGTGATTCTCAAGATCTGTTATTCGTTTACCTAAGTCTGTTACTACTTTATCAGTTGATTGCAACTGATTCTTCAACTCTTTTAGTTTCGTGAGAACGGTGGATTGACCAGCGGATAATTTTTTTAATTCAGTGGCAACTTCTTGAATGGTACTATGGCCGGGGTTTGATTCAACGTCACCGGCTTGCAGCAACAAGGAATAAATGACACTCGCGCATTCAGCGGCAATGGCAATGCAACACTGTGGGCTCGGTGACTGTACCAAAAAGTAATTACTAGATTTTTTAGCGAATAGACTGTGTGAATTACTGACCTGCATGGCAAAGGCAAACGGATTAGTGAACTGCGCTGCCGCACAGTCACCGAGCCCACAGAGCGCAGGCGGACAGTGTTGGTCTTTTATAGGAGAGGCAGTGGCTGATGTCGGTGGCGATGCTGTTTTCCGCAATGAAACCAGGTATCCGGGAGGGCAGGAAAGGGTGAGGGGTGGCGCTTCCATGCACGCTGAAGCGTGAACGAAGTGGCGTGTCCAGTTGCCTGCGCCGGTCCCGCAACTGTGAGTCGCTAGGATCAGTGAGGCTGCAGATTGGGGCAGCACAGGTCCAGAAAGCATGACTGCGGCGATGAGGGCATAGGTCTGCATGGCAAAGGCAAACGGATTAGTGAACTGCGCTGCTGCATAGTCATCGAGCACACAGAGCGCAGGCGAACGGTGTTGGTCTTTTATGAGAGAGGCAGTGGCTGATGTCGGTGGCGATTCTGTTTTCCGCGATGAAACCAGGTATCCGGGAGGGCAGGAAAGGTTGAGGGATGGTGCTTCCATGCACGCTGAAGCGTGAACGAAGTGGCGTGTCCAGTTGCCTGCGCGGGTCCCGCAACTGTGAGTCGCTAGGATCAGTGAGGCTGCAGATTGGGGCAGCACAGGTCCAGAAAGCATGACTGCGGCGATGAGGGCGTAGGTCTGCATGGCAAAGGCAAACAGATTAGTGAACTGCGCTGCTGCACAGTCACCGAGCCCACCTTCGCCATAACGCTCTGTTCATTGCAAAAGTATGGCGCCGAATCCGTGTCCACTGGCATCAGTATGGAGGAGAGTGGGTGCTGCGTTATCAAAATGATGAAGCACTGTCTCAGACTTGAGGGTACGTTTCAAGGTGTCAAAAGCCATATGACATTCGTTCGACCATACGTATGACGTTCCCGCAGAAAGGAGTTAGTGAAGTGGCGCAGCAATGGTGGCGAAGTCTCGTATAAAGAGCCAGAAGTACGAGGCAAGGCCAAAAAAGCTTCTGAGCTCTTTGGCGCGATGAGGCACCGCGAAGTGAAGAAGGGCGGTAATCTTGTCGGGATCTGGCTGGATTCCATTTTTGCTGATGAGATGTCCGAGTACTTTAATACTTTTGCTTACAAAGGGGCACTTTTTGGCGTTGAGCTGAACACCAGCAGCTGCAAGACACGTCAGATCTTCATCTAGGCACTAGGAGTGCTGTTCAAATGC